GTAATGGCTGACATTTCCAGCTGATGAAACGAAGTAATAGGAGCCTCTTGTGGACCTTGCACCAAATTGCACAGAGATTAGGGATAGGATGAAGTTTAAGGTTATTTTGAAGTATTGGACTGAGGTTAATTTGACGGCTAGGATGGGAGAATAGGTACTCTTTCTGGATTTTAGCGCAGTGCCACCTGTATAACTGGAGCACTTCCCATCTCCTTGTTTAGCCGTACTACTGAACCAATTAGATGCTGGATTTTCTGGTATTTACCTATGGCCGGTTACCCTCGCATATAAGGCCTGTTAAAACTACTCTCAACAACCAATACCACCTTTCATAATCACTTTGCCGATTTTTATGTAGAAAATAGAGAAATTAAGTGGGCAAAAATTAAAATGTGAAAAGCGAGCACGGCAAGCTAGCAGGGTTTTCAAGTCCAGAAGTCTCTAATGGTTTTTTTAGCCGGTAAAGGCGTACCGCAACCTCGGAAGAGCATAGTTAAATTGGACGCCCGCTATAGATACATCTAGACCCAGAATTCTGGTATGAGTTTGGCTCAGTTTTGGTTTATTAGTTAGTTTTATGGATTCGTTTTTATTTTAATATATTTAAGTGTTTAGTTTTGCTAGTTTTGTTAAGTTTAGGTAAGGTTGGTTAGTTTATTTTAATATTTATAAGTTATTTAATTTTATTTATCTAACCTTGATGGTATCTAACTGAGCTGAAAACTAAACTAAGGTAAACTAGTAGAACTAAAAATAGCCACAGGACTAGGGGCTAGACCATGTAAGTTTGGCGACTAACTTAACTTTTACCTTTTCATTTTACCCACTGAACTAATTTACGTGAATGTTGGCAAAAAGCTATGCACATTAAAACATACGTTGATATAGCTTATTTTATCGTTTCTTGTCTAGTACGAATTATTCTACCTCGTATTTCGTTTTTTTTTATGAAAATGAATAATCTTTGTGACTTGTACACATGGCCAGGAGAACTAATCCATTAATTTATTATATATGCCACTCAAACGTTTTGAGTTCATTGCAAAGAAAACAATTTTTCCAAACCACGTATGTTTAAAGACTTTTGTCGCCTAACTCAGGAATAGTAACCTCTTTAAGTGAGAATATGCTTCGGCGTGAATAAAATTAATAACGAGGAGACTTACAAATGAGACCTTTGGGATTTCAATAAAGGCAAACCGAGCTCTTATGGTAGCGATCGCTTCAAGTTTTGCTGCTAATTATGACATCTGCTCAGATTTCTTTACGGCCCTTGGGTTCGTTTATCATTTTTTTCAGTTTTTGTCCTACTGATCGTTGTCAGAAGCATTTGGTCAGTGCTACCATTGGCAGATATTCGGAACTTTAAAGTCAAAATATTGGAGTCTAAGGGGTAGTATTCCACTTCCCTGGCGACATCTGTATTTTAACATAATTTGCACACCTTCCTGTAAATGTGTTGCCTCAACAGCACCTAGAAAATAGAGAGAAATATAACACTGAGCCAAATGTTTTCATCCCAGGTAGGTGTATAGATAGAGAAGGAGAAGGCGTTTCGAGCACCGGCATCATAATTTTATTCGCCTGGGCTTTCGGGCTCTTACTGGAACCCATCGTCAGAGAGAAAAGCGTCTCTGACGGTGGACTCCAGTAAGAGCACGAAAACTCAGACGAATAAAATTATAATGCCAGTGATCGAAACGCCTTCTCCTTCTGTATCTAAATACAACACTTTCTTTGCGAAGAAGATTAAATTGGGCGAGCACAGATCCTTTATACCAAGATCCGAACAAGTGAAAACTTTGCTTCCATACACTTCTAAAAGAACCAGTTAATATCAGCATCAGGACTTGCTTTTCCTCAAGAGCGTATTAGGGTAGTCAATAGACGACGTTATAGATTTGAACAAAAACGCAAATGAGCAACTTCTGTTTTGAGTTGCTAGGCGAATACTTATCCGTTTAAAACAGAAAAATGTGAATTGATGAATTAAATGAATAAATGTGGCGGCCTAAATGCCCAAAAAACCTTTAGAATATGATCTGATAGACAATAAACTATGCATAACAGAAAGCTGAACTGCTTCTGGAAAGTCTTTTTCTGTCAGAAAACCTGATTCTGCCTGCTTTTTAAAAAGCATTCTCGGTTACGGTTTTTGATTTATCCTTATTAAAACACAGGAATAACCACAGAGGCGATGCTTTATGTGGGTGCGGCCAAGCAGAATGCAATCCTGGAGGTAACGGAGACAGGCGTGAAAGCGGCCGCCGTTTCTTCCATGCAAATGATGCCGATGTCCCTCCGGCCTAAAGGTGAACCCTTCATTGTGGATCAGCCATTCTTTTGCGCCGTCTATGACATAGACCTTATGTTGCCACTCTTCTTGGCCCGCGTGATGGATCCACAGCCAGTTTAATCAGCAATGCGACTTCCTCTTCTGTTGACTCTGACCATCTTTTGTTGTAATGAATACGGTGAAGGCTGATTAAATTTTCAAATTAATGGACATTTGATTCAAAAATACATATTTTCCCAGTATCCGACCAGTCGGTGCTGCAAGCTTGAATAACAAGAAGGTGTGAGAATGATTCAGGGAAAGTGGTAGACGCATCGGCGTATAACACCTTTCTTGTTCACATCGTCTGCCTAAACCTGGTATTCAGACTCTAATTTCGCAAAAGCCGAGATGTTTCTGATTATCTTATGGGCAATTTCAATCACTATGCAAGATCAGTGTGTTCCGGGTATTCGTCTTGTTAGCCCCCTATACCATTGTAAATGTTAGACTGAGAACGAAATGTACGGGTGTTTTTATTTCTCTTTGCCCAAGAAATGACCTTCGAGTGACGTACAATGACTGTGTTTCGAATGTGACAGTCCGCATTTGCAGCGACAAAATCGCGAGGATAGTTAAGCAGTTTTGGCATGCTCTTCGTCGTCCCCGCCATGAAGTTAGTGCCGCTTTCTTCTACCTATCACGGCTGCCCACTTCCAGGCTGAAAATAGGAGGTCACCGCAGAACCTGCTTCGATAGACTCTGTCAAGACATAGAGATGATTCGTGTACTTAAGAAATTCAGTCTCCGTTGCTGGAAAAGGAAAGGGATCAAGCTTTCCAGATGCATTCATCCATATCGCCACGCGTAGTGGTGAGGGATTTGCGACATATTCGGTGTCTGCTCGATCGACAGTGGTCACAATCGTACCAAGTAGAAACATCCCGCCATAATTGATCGATCTTTGCTGGTTTGGTCTAAGACATCGCAAGAGGAATCGTGGTTCCGTTACAAGATGAATATTTGAGGACATGGGAACTGTTTATTGCGGGCTTACAACAAGTTATTCGGCTGGGCTGCTTTTTCACAAAGAGATAGAAAGAGAGGGAGATGCGCCTCATTTCTGAAAGAATTATCGTAAAACTGTCAGCAAGAAAATTCCTCCATTCACCTTGGAGAAAATTAGGCACAAAAAAAACATAGAACTGGAAGATCACAAACTATGCATAGAGGCTGAAGACTGCTCATATCTAAATCATCCAGGATCTTCCTTGAATAATTCGTGAAGTGTTGGCCAAATTGGCCTTCCTTGAAAATGGCGCTAGCTTCATGCGCTAATAACCCAAGAATTGTAGTTCGAAAAAAATAGAATGGGCTAAAAACGGTATATAATGGGCGAAGTAGATCAACTGATGTACATATATATATATATGAGAAAATTTACATGCAAATGGAGAGCAGAAGCAATTGCGCCTCAATTTAATCTGTGCATGAGGTATTTCTTCATCACCATTACTCCTAAATAAGCTATGGATGGAAGCATTCAAGTCTTAATAATCAATTTTAACTTAGTTTGTTTTTTCTTGGTGGGAGAATAGATTGATTTCGTTAAATACTTCGTCAATCCCATTGTTTGGTGTCCACTTGAATGACCCTATCAACACTTTTACATTACTAAAAGCGTAAGTTTCGGAGCAGTGGAAGATGAGAGGAATTTTTCGGCAGAGCATATCCGCAATGTAAAAAAAGAATCTACTGTCGCGCATAACATAGACATCTTTGCGTTTAGCAATTTTCATCATTTTCTTCACGCTATCAAATGCCAGAAATATCGCTAAGGTCACCCATGATTCTGGTCAACGCTGATTCAAACATCTCAGCAAATGTCCCCGTTTCATGCTTCCTTACAGCTTCAACCTAATAACACTGGCTTGCACCCTTGCTTATACCTCATTGAGCCGCAAAGTGAGCCAATATTTGCTGCTAAAGCATCCCACGCTGTTGTTTTCGAACACACGATTGGGGAGTACAGATAGTTATTACTCCGCTGGTGAAGACAGGCAAGCAGGCAGGCAGTTGATCCGAGAAGTAAAAGTGATAACTTTCGGATCCCTTTTTGTTCACAGCTATTATGTTACCTTGGCAATGTAATGTCAAGATGACCAGAGAAGGTAGTTGACGTAAAGCCTATACTTACCATGTGCCACAGGCAACAAGGTGGCTCGGCACTGTGAACTAAGTTGTACATTAAAGCAAAGGGCACATACAAGAAGCCGAGTGGGGAGAAGTTTCCTTGGTAGCGCACATTTGTTCTTATTAATATTAAAATGCCTACTCCAACGCTTCCCGTAAGGCAGAAGCCTGGGGCATTTTACATGCGATATCAGTATCCCAACCTAACACTAAGCCTAACCCGAACCATAAATATTAGCCTAATCCTTACCCTAACCCTAACCCTTGCCATAACACTTACCCTAACCCTAACCCTAAACCTAATCCTTACCCTAACCCTAAACCTTACCCTAACCCTTACAATAACCATAATCCTAACCTTTACCCTAATCCTTACCCTAACACTTACCCTAACCCTAACCCTAACAGAAATTAATTGTGTGGGCATTTAAATATGAATAAGAACATATGTGCGCTATCAAGGAAACTCCTGCCAGGATTTTTAGGTTCATATATCTGGCATGTTTCTCTCTCCTTTCGGCAGGACACGGGATCAGGATCCGCTCGTAATACAGGTGGCTTTGCGTTCAATTCCAGGGTAATAAGGGTTAGAGTTAGGGTGGGAGTTAGGATAAGGGTTAAGGGGGGTCAGCAATGAGTAAGGTGGTAGGTTTGGGACACGGGCACAATTATCCCTTCTGAACTTTAGCGCTAAGCCGCTTCTGTTAAGGGAACGGAGTGTTCCTATTCCCGTTTCCTGTCGGGAGGAAGGGTGGGAGGTACAGTAGCCGCCGAAGACCAGGCAACGCTAATTATGAAATCTGCCTGGACA